ATATTAATTGTAATTGAATATACACTGTACAGTGAAAGTGAGGTATTTAGTTACATTAGATGAGAAATCTGTGATTGTAAATGTAATTGAGAATATGGATGCAAAAACACTTGTAACCAAACGACATGCTGTATGTAATGGATGAGATCATTTTTTTAATATTGTTTTTTTATTTTTATGTTTAAAAATAAAAAAATAGATTGGAAAAAAACTCTGTACATTTTCTGCTCATGTTATATCTCATCCCTCACATATCAGAATATCTCCTGCAAAGCTTGTTTTTTTAAAAAAAAAAAGCTGAGGAATTTGTAATAAATGCTTTAACAATAATATAAGCAGTAATGTCAATAAAAATATTACTAATAAAAAACTGTAGTTAGTAAAAGTAGTACTAATTAAAAAACCCTATAATTTAATGACCAAAATTTCACTCCCATTAATGTTTTGCATCTTGAAATTCGAAACACCAAATGCCACACCTACTTGGCACAATCTTGAAGAATAGTAATTTTCTTCAAAACAAAATGAAGCTTTAGAGCTGTGGATTTTGGAGTATCAATTAGATTAGACATTGAAAATACCTTTTGTATAAATTTCCTTGAAAACTAATGGGAGGATATAAACTTCAACAGCATTCATCCGGGCAAAACATTAGCAGGTAAGGAAATGAAGGAGTGTTAAAGAAAATCTCACTTTTTAAATTTTTAATTAAGGCACATAAAAATGGAATAAAAGAAGGAAAAAAGACAGCTGCTACAAAGAATTGGGCAGTAAGAATTTCAGTCTGGAAAATTGAAATGTTACCCGCGTTAAAATGTGGATCATCTTCCATTGATATCACGGCCTCTTCAACTGCATCTAATGCAGTTCCTCCTTGTTTAAGGATGCTGTAACCTTTCAACGCTGCTCTGATCACACCAGAACGACTTCCATCTTCCCGCTCTTTAAAGATGCGACCAGCTCCACCATGAACAACAATAACTGGCTTCATGCTGTTGAATGTTTTTCTAGTTAAAAGAATATGTATATATATATATAAATAAATATGTATGTATGTATGTATGTATGTATGTTATATTTATGCTGATAAATAAATAAAGGGAGACTAGTATAGATCTATTTCAAGCTATTTAGCTCTNCTTGAGCCGGTGAGATTTGAACCGCTGAACTGCAGATCACAGTCAGCTGAAGTGGCCTGCAGTACTGCACCCTAACCACTACGCCACCTCGGCTCATAGTAAACGAAAGTCTAATCTTAAATTTTTAGGTGATATAGGTAAAAGCAATAACCTTTGAAAAGGCATTTTGGCAACTGCAACTGAACACACCTGAAGGACTTCAAATTAGGGAAGGGCCTCATAAGTGCATTTAAACTCCTGAAAAATCCATTTAAGAGAGATTATAGGAGATTATTATGCTCTCCATTAGCCACTGAGCACTTACATACCATTACCAACCCTAAATAAAAATACTCTGTCTGCCTTTAAGTTCATGGCCTCTTAAGAGTGGTTACAATTTCTTCCAACAAGCTATAAAATCTATTCCATGTACAACATGGCCACAAAGAGGATAAATGGAATATGCCACTACAGAATAAAGTGGGGTATCGTATTTAATATTCCAAGAGCAAACAAGCTCTTTGCAAGAGAGATACTTCTGAGTGTATCCCAGGAATGGGGAGCTTGTGATCTGCCAGATGTGACTGAACCTTAATTCCTAATATCATTAGCGGTTCGGCTCTGCTAGATGGTATTACCAATTCTAGCACTTAGCAACATTTGGCACATCAGAGGCTCCCTGTTACTGGCCAAGTTATATGCCAGCATTCTGTTTATTTGGAACCATTAAAAATATAATTATCACCTGGATTGCAGCATTTCCTTCTATTATATCTTTACACCTGGCCAGAGGTCATAAAGCATCATATGAAAGTATTACAATCAAACCCCAAAGGAAAACTGATTTTGTTGAAGATCACCTTTGGCATACCTTTTCCATTACAAGACGAGCAAGCTTTATTGGGTTAGAAATACATTTCACGGCTGATACTGCTCCTGAGGCTAGATTTTTCCCATCCATGATAATAGCATCCATTTCTACTTCGCCCTTCTCATTTAACACAGAGCCACAACCTAGGAATCAAGTAGAAGAGACATTAATATGCAAACATAAAGCTAAACAATTTTAAACTATTTTAATTAATTTGTATTTTAATTACTCTTTAAATGGTAGCTTTTGCAGTATCAAAATCCTTGCAGGAGTAATTAGTGCTAATCCTAACAGAATATATAAAAACTCTGTAGCAGCCAGAATCGTATTTGCAAAAAACTGGAAAAATGAAACAATACCAAAACAGGAAGAAGTTATTCAAAAAATAATGGAGTGTGCTGAAATGAGTAAATTGACATTTGAAATTAGAGAACAGGAAGACGAGCAATTTTACAAGATATG